ATCGTATTACACAATTTTTAATGTTTTATTGTGTGTACTTTCGTTATCAATTATATATACGTGCACGTCTGCTGTGCTTCGAGAAATCCGCACGTTGTAAAATCTGATCGACCTATTTGCTATCTCTCTACGAGATAGTCTGACGAAGAAAAATTATCACCGAGATCGAAAGGCCGAATTTTGCTTTGTTGCTTCGTCGGGTTCGCGCATATCCGTGGGCGTTCCGGAGGAGAAACCGGCCAAAAATGGGAAGAGAAACGATTCCGCGATTTATATTCGCGATCGAATGGACAACAGAGGGGCGACCTTTAAGGTCCTAATGATCAGCTAAACTCGGAGGAAACGACGATCGAAGCGGCATTGGAGTTCGCACGAACGTTCTGCTCGAGGCTTTTCGCAGTCGCCTTTTAAAGCGGCGAGATAACGTCGATAACTGGACAATCCGAGACCAGTTCCAGACCAGTTTTCCCCTTTCGGTTCTTGCCCGTATACACGCGACTGATTGTCAGTTGTAAACGCGAGCTCGCTCACGTACACACAAATCCTTTTACCTGCATTTATATACAACCGGCTCGCGAAAGTGTTCGAATAAAAACATTATCACAGAGGCACATTTGTGTGCACATATATATGTATGCCAATTGGACGTGTTGGATCTATCAACTTGTTTTGAAATTTCTTTAACACTGTGGCGAGAGACGGCTATTATGATCGTGTTGGTGAAATTTAAAAAATCGATTTGAAAATGTACATTATATCATAATATATGTTACATTTGCATTATATATATAAATATGTATTATATTATTATATTATATCATATAGGTGGGGGTGGGGTTTATTACAAATATATATTTAGTAAAAGAATTAATCCATTTACTAATAATAATCATTATTAATGATGATATTTTCGTTTTTTAAAAAGAATTTATTAACAGTAACGTTATTTTTATTTGTTGAAATATTGTTCGAAATTCGACCTTCTATTTAAAATCGTTAAAATTAAGTTAATTTAATCTTCTCTTAAATAGTTTAGTTTGATAAGTGAGCAGTATTAAAGAGATAAAAACTATGATTTTCTCGCGACTTCGAAGGGTTGAGGAAAAGGTTAATGCACTGAGTAAATTGAGGTGTGATTGATTTGAAAATAATTATAATACGAGTTCTCGCGTAAAAGAATACAATTTTTTTTTGGAGAGAAATCTCTTTCTGACTGTTTAAAAAATAATTGTTTACAAACAATAATACAAATGAAACGAGTATCGGGTAGCGTAAAATTAACATTAACATTGTCATACAGCTATGAAGAAAGTTTGTCATATCATTTTATAAGCTCGCAAATGATATATACGCATCAATTGCAATCGATATTGTACTAATTTCAAAGGAAGAAATATTTGCATCGAATTGCTCTTCTATAGTTTTATAGCTAATACTGTTTCTTTTGTATTAATGCTACCATCTAATACAAAATATCAGAATCTTTTTCGTCACTGGCATACTGGCAGTCAATAACGAAGCTACAGGCACAGACGAGGTATGTGAATAGACATTGACTAACTTGAATAAACTGGACATCAAATGGAACTTTGTGCCCCAGAGCCTGAAATACCGACCAGGAAAAAAAATCACTGGTTTTTTAGCGTCCTCTACGCTTAAATAACGGTGAATTAGAGAACTACGTCAAACAAAATGATACAAGTTGGTTCAAGAAAATACTTTACAGTGTTGTCAATTGTATATCCATTGACTAAAGTTAGTTAATGATTTTACGTTCGATTTAAAGATAGAAGAAAAGAGGAAAAATGTAGTTAGTTCGGTCCGTTCGACTTCAGTTAAAAGAAATAAATAGTTCACGTGTACTTTACATTCACTTTACGTTCAGTTTCAATAGAGAATAACGAAGGAGATATATATATCATTATATCGAAATAAGAGTTCAGTTTAAGAAAAAGGAAATGGTTAGTTTAGATGTATAAAAGTATATTGAAATTACGGTTCACTCTAAAAAGAAGGAAGATGTTAGTTTAGACGTATTTAGACGTATTATATATTCAGTTTAAAAAAAAAGGAAAGAATTAGTTTAGTTGTGGTTCAGTTTATATTAAATAGTTTATATTATATTATATTATTTTCATATAGAGCGCTTCGATGTGAATATAGTGGTGCCATCTGTTGGTAATTCTTTTCACGTAAGTGCAGAGAGTTTCGATATGGACACGATTGTACCATCTGGCGGTAACGCTGAGAACGAAGTAATTACGAATGCGAAATATTTTTTTCGCTTTTCTTTCGTTTTCTTTTTCGCTGGGTATAATAGCCATTACAGTGCTGTCAATTGTACATCTTCAGCACAGATATAAATAAATATACCTCGTCTGTAACTCCAGATTCCGAGAGAAATGAGTAAGCCTATTCTGTTTTACATTATATATGTATATATCACAAAGATCTCTATTCGTGTTTTAATATTAACATACACTACATAATTACTTATATATAATATACATAATTATTTATATCATGTACATAATTATTTATACTTCATTATTATTAAAAATAATTTTTAAACT